AGTGGGAATAAACCTCACACACAGAACTGCAGCAGAAGTGAAAGAGGCTTAGGTGACAACACCTCAGAAAGCCCTGTGAGACCTAACAGTGAGACTAGGGCCACAAAGGTGACCTGAGAGCTGGATGCAGCCACTTTCCTCTGGAGATGGGCTGAGAGAAATGGGTGTGTCCAGCCTGAAGAAGAGAAAGCTCTGGGAAGAACTTAGAGCCCCTTCCAGGGCTTAAAGGGGCTACAGAAGAGCTGGAGAGGGACTGGGGACAAGAGATGGAGGGACAGGACACAGGGAATGGCTCCCACTGCCAGAGGGCAGGGATGGATGGGATGTTGGGAACTGGGAATTGTTCCCTGTGAGGGTGGGCAGGCCCTGGCACAGGGTGCCCAGAGCAGCTGTGGCTGTCCCTGCATCCCTGGAACTGTCCCAGGCCAGGTTGGATGAGGCTTGGAACAACCTGGGATAGTGGAAGGTGTCCCTGCCATGGCAGGGGGTTGGAATAAGCTGAGCCTTAAGGCCTCTTCCAACCCACACCATTCCGGGGTTTTGTAGCTCTCTGCCAAGCAGCACATATGCCAGAGGCAGGGGTATCAAGATGAGTGATGTGGATAACCCTTGCCCAGACTGGCACTTAGAAGAGAAGTGAGGGTAAATACACAAAACACTGCCTTGAAGTGCTGCTGTATGACCTGAATAGAGCTAAGGGCTGTCTGTGAGGTTTTCCCTCTAGAACTGTGACTGGAACCCCATAGCTCAGGAGTCAGGACGAGCTGAGACAAGGCTACTGCCCACCCAAAGAAGAAGGGAACCCCCTCACTCAGCACTCATATGCCCCAGGGAGGCCCCACTTACCCATGCTGATCACAGCAATCTCCCCGGAGGAGGAGTTGTGAGGCCCCACAAAGACACCGGACACCAGGAGAAGGGAGTCATCGGAGTTGAACTGAGAGAACTGGGTGTAGCTCCAGTTGTAAGGCCTCATGTTGGAGCTGTGCTGCAGGGAGATGTCCAGCTCATTGCTCCAGATCTACAGAGATGGACAGTCAGCAAGCTGCTGAGAGTGGTTCTGCTTTATCTGTTCTGCCAGTACTCACCGGGACATGAAAAACAAACAGTATCAAACACCCCATTTAATTGCCCCCCAGTCACCACATCCCTACCCATTCCTGTGACAGAAAATGGAGAGGGGCCAAATGGAGAACTGCTGCTGCACTGGCCAGAGGGGAAGGTGCTCAGGCAGTGAATGGTGCTATCACAGATGGGTTTCCGTAAGTTCAGACACATTCCTCCCAGGACAACCACTCAGGGGAGACATGATCCAGTGGATCATTATCTCCCCAGTCTTCATCAGACCCAGGGCACAACAGGACACTGATCTGCACCTAGAAAGCAAAGCACCTTGGCCACCTCCGCACACACTCAGGCTGGAGCTGGAACACACAGCCCTGAAGGCTAAATTTGCAAAAGTTATTAGTTCTATGGCTTAGAAGACAGCTCAGCACCCACAGGAACCAGCCCAAGTCCAGGGACATCTGGTCAAACCTCTCCACAGACATCCCAAAGGCTGCTCAGGGCTAAGCCCCACTGGACCAAGGCTGCAAGAGCTGGACAGGGCACCTACCACTTTACCTTGACCGTGCAGTCTTTAGAGCATGATGCAAACAGGCAGCCAGAGTGGGAAAAGCTCAGGTGCAAAACTTGGTCATTATGCTCCTTCAGGGCCTGCACCTCCACGCAAGGGATGGTGTCGTAGAGCCTCTGGAACTCATCGTACCACGAGACAGCACCTGCAACACAGAGCAGGGACACGGGACAGAAGCATGAGTGGAGGGAAGCAGAGCTGGGCTAAACACGGCATCAGGCTTTAATAAACCAATCCTGGCTCCTAAGAGCAAGGCCAGGAGCTCTGCTGGGGCACCAACCCAGGGCTGCAGCTCAGCTACCAGCCCTCAGCATTTTCCTCAACAGCTTCCCTACTGCCACACACCCCTTTCTTCCAGTACACACACAGCTCCACGCCACACTTCTGCTTTCCAAACCAGCACAGCCCCTGCTGGAACAGCCCGGGCAGAGGTGCCTTGGGACAAACCTTGCCCAGGACAAAACAGTCCTGAGAAGGAACAACCAAATCAACCAGGTGGGACAAGAGGGAAGCTGGAAAGCTGCTCCTCACTATACGCAGCTCTGCACTGATTACCTCTGTCTTGTCTAACACAGAATTAAGATGACTCCAGAAAGGGTCTGGGACGAGGAAGAAAACAGCTCCATGAGGTAAGAGACTTGAAAAAATGAAAGAGAAGAACAGAAGGTGGGCATAGTGTGCTAAGCACAGTCTGAGGCACACTTGTGGGAGTCTTTTACTGATGGACAATAAAAAGCAAATAAAGAAAATTTTAATGAAGGGCCCAGCCAGGCAGCCTACAGACTTCTTGTAGCAGCAAATCCCAGAGAAGCAAAGGGGATTAGACATGTATATGGACAAGGGCCAACTTTCCTAGTGACACTGCACAGAACTGAAGGATTTTTTGGAACACAATACAGGCAGGACCAGCTTGCTGCCAGCACATCCCACTGCTGCTCAAGGCTTCAACCCCCTCCAGACCTCCTGGTCCCAGCCCATCCAGCTGGGAAAAGCCTGGGCAGGCTCCATTTGGCCAAGCAAACCAAACATTTCATCTTACAGACCCACTGGATATCATTCCTCTAACCCTGGAGCTGTCCAGGGCAGCCAGGCTGGCAGAAATATTCCCCAAACTCATGCTTCAGCCCCTGCCAACAGTTCCTGTCCTGCCGCCTTGTGCAGGGTGCCCACAGCTCCAGCAGCCAGGGAGGTGCCTGAATACATTACTGAGCTACACCAACTGCTTGATCCTAATTAGTGCTCAAGAACAGGGCTGGCAGCTGACTAAGCAGCTCCAGGAGGCTGGGAGAGAACGAGCCTGGTCAAACGGCTTCAGAAAAACCCTAACGCAAACATCCTCAGCCCCATGGAGCTTCTAGGGTCTGTAAGTCTCACAGCCTGGAGGAATCCCATCAACATCCACCTCCCCCGAGAGCCCTTCTGAAGTGGCGCTCCTGCTGCGAGATCCTCCCACAGCCTCCCACTGCCTGATCCTTGGCATTTCTTCATTTATTCCTGCCCTTTTGTAGCCACTGCAACCCAGAACGCAGGACCCAGTTCCCTCAGCACAGCCGGAGGCCCCCTGCACTGCTCTACTGCACCCTGCAATGCACTGGGAATGGGCTGCTTGCAGAGAAACCCCCCTGGGCAGCAAGGGCTTCTGCTGCCAGGCCTCAGCTGGTGTGACAGAGCTAGCTCATCCTTCCAGACTGCACCAAACTGCTTCCAGCACTGGATGCTCAGCAGACAGCAGAGCTGTGATCACACGACTGCCACCCGCAAGCCTTCTGGCAGCTCAGCCAGGGACAGCCCTGCCAGGCTCTGTCAGCTCCTCTTGTGAGCCCAGATCAAGTCCAACCTGCCCTGGTGCTGTGGGGCAGCTGCTGATTCAGCACATGTCCCCAGAGCTGTCACAGGGCCACACATCCCCCAGACAGGCACAGGTGTCCCTGCACAGCCCAGCCCCTGGCACCCCCAGAGCAGCCAACGCTGCTAGTGGCAGTGCCTGGTGCAGCTGCACAACAGACACAGCTGCAGCAGAGGGGCTGCCAAGTTCCAGAAAGGCCAAGCCCACAGTGATTCCACATATCCCATGAAAGCTGGGATCCAGCAGCATCTGGTGACTCACTAAGACTCCCAGAATCTCCCTGGACAGCAGCTACAGAGAGCACCTACCTAGAGAGCTCAGGAAACCTTTCTGTGAAAAGAAGGGTAAAGCATTTTCAGCTTTTCTGAAGGCTCTGGGCAGATTCAGAGCCCTTCCCGTGCACACCTCAGCCCATGACACAGCTGAGGCGAGGCAGTTTGGGGGTCCCAGCACCCTGACAGCGGCGGGCACGGGGCAGAGCAGGGGGAGCGCCCCCGGGATCGGCCCCGCGGCCCGGAGCGCACCTGGGTGCCGCGGCACGTCCCGGGACACGCGGTAGTAGCGGTAGAAAAGCTCCTTCCACAGGAATTCGTCGCGGGCCACGGCGCGCCACTGCTGGCAGACAAGCCCCACCGAGAGCACGTCGGCGTGGTCCAGGTACAGGAAGATCTCGAACAGGACGCTGTCCGGGAGCCGGGGGCAGCCCGCGTCCATCGTGTCATTCTGCCGCCGCGCCTGGAACCGAGCGTGCTGCTGGAGCCAGGCCCGGAACGGGGACCCGCACCCGCCGAGAGCCCGCGGCTCCCCCGGGCCTCTCCCGCGGCTCCCTTCGTGCCGTGCCCGGTGTTCTTAGTGCCGTGCTCGCCGTGCCCGCCCTGTCCCCGCCGCTCCCCGCCCTGTCCCCGCCCTGTCCCCGCCGCTCCCCGCCCTGTCCCCGCCGTCCCCCCGCACCTCGGCGGCTCCGCTGTCCCCGCCCCGCCGCGCCACTTCCGCCCGGCGCTGCCCAATCAACGGGCGCGTCCGGCCGCAGCCCCGACGGCTCGAGCACAGAGCTCCCCGCAGCGTGCCAGGCACAGGGAGCCGAGCGCGGCGCAATCGCTCACGAGCGCCCCTGCACCGGCAGCGCTGCCCCGCCCCGCCCGGCAGGCCACGCCCCGCATGGCGCGGCTGTGCCGGTTAAGCCACGCCCCGCTGTGAGCAGGCCCCGCCCACCCCGGTCCCCGGGCCGGCCCCCTCAGCCGCGGCGCTGCCCGGCCCCGTTCCCCGCCCGGCCCCGCTCCCCGCCCGGCCCCGCTCCCTGCGCTCCGCCCGGCCCCGCTCCCCGCCCGGCCCCGCTCCCTGCGCTCCGCCCGGCCCCGCTCCCCGCCCGGCCTCGCTCCCTGCGCTCCGCCCGGCCCCGCTCCCCGCCCGGCCTCGCTCCCTGCGCTCCGCCCGGCCCCGCTCCCCGCCCGGCCTCGCTCCCTGCGCTCCGCCCGGCCCCGCTCCCTGCGCTCCGCCCGGCCCCGCTCCCCGCCCGGCCCCGCTCCCTGCGCTCCGCCCGGCCCGCGCTGGCCCCGGCGATGACCCCGTCCGGCCGCCACGAGGGCTCCTGGCTCCCGGCCGTGCCCGGCTGGCCCCGCCGCTTCCCGGCAGCGCCTGCCTCGCACGCCGGCGCATGGCGGCCCTGCGCACCCTCCTGCTCCTCGGGCTGCTCCTTTCGGCGCGGGGGCAGAGGCGGCGGCCGCCCCCTCCCCAGAGTGCGCTGGAAAAAGTGGTGGCTCAGGAGGGGCTCAGCCTCCACCAGGTGAGGCGTTGGGCAGAGGGGTCTGTGGGCAGCCGCTGGCCCCGCGCTTGGGTGGGCTGCAGGGAGCCGCGGTGGCTCCTGTTCCGTGTGCCCCTGCAGGACTGACCCCCGGTGTCCCCCCCCAAACCCGGCTGTGCAGCCCATCCTCCTGCATCCCCGTCCAGCGTCCCCGTCCAGCGCTGACCCCCCTGTGCCCTTCCTCCCCAGGCCCACCCTTGCAGCCTGTCCCGTGTCCCCCTCCAGGTCTGACCCCCACTGTCCTCCCCCGCCTCAGCCTCCCAGCCCTTCCCCCAAGCCCGAGCCCCTTAGTGCCGCACACACACAGCCGGGGCTGCCAGAGCCCAGCTCAGCCCCCGCACTGCCTGCACAGCTGCCCGCAGAGCAGGCGCTGGGGCCGAAGCCTCACAGCGACCCCCGTCCTCACCCATCTGGAGCTGCCGGAGGGCCGGTGCAGCCGCCCTCACTCTGGGGCTTGGGCTGAGCTCGGGGCTCTGCTGGCGGGGCCAAGCTGGGGCTGCAGCTTAATGTCATGCCGAGCACACACCCAGTGTGGCACTGGGGTGCCCCCAGTGCTATGGGCAGTGTGAGCCATGGGCAGGTGCCTTGGACATCCCCTAGACACCCCCAGCTTCTCCCCGTGTCAGGCTCCTTCTGCCCTACCAACCCACCAAGCAGCACCTGAAGGGCAGTTGTGCCCTGTGGGCAAGGCTGGAACAGGAATAGTTCCTAAGGAACAGGCTGTGGGCAGAAGTGCCAAGTTAGGGGGAGGGTGCTCAGGGTGGCTGAGTGGTGGCACCCCAAGCTGGTGGCCCTGTAAATGGTGCCATCCTGTGCCATGCAGCTCTCAGGGAAGTGGTTCCTGGTCGGCATAGCCTCCCACTGCAGCTACCTGGCAGAGCACAGCCACCAGCTGGAGGCCACGACAGTGACATTGACCATCCTGGAAGGGCAGAGCCTGGCCATCAACACCTTCAGGAAGCTGTGAGTGATGCCAGGCACAGGGGCTGTGGGCAGGGACAAGGATGCTGCAGGCAGGTCAGAACAGGACCAGTGCCCTAGGATGGGGACTCTGAAAGCAGTGCCAGTGCCCTGGCCACAGGCTCCAAAGAGGACCAAGTTGCCCCAGAGCCAAGTGTGGGTGGGATACCCTCCAAGGAGTTTTGTAGTCAAAGCCCTGGCCACGATGGGCACCCTGGTCATGATGCACACCCTGCCACCCGCACATCCACTAGCCCAAGCTGAGCAGGGCGTGCCCAGGCTGGTCAGTGTGAGGACAGCCAGGCTGGCAAAACTGAGACATGTGGTGTCTCCAAGGCTGCCCAGCCCAGGACTGGCTCTTGGGATTATCCTAGGGGCAGCATGTCTGAGGATGGGGACCTTCAGCACATCTGTGAGCATTTTTCCCAGCCTGCTGGGCCCTGAGGTCCTGAGCATGCTCAGCATTGCAGGGAGGTGACAGGGACTCCTTGGGCGCAGCAGATTTTGGGCTCAACATCTCTCACAATGTCTCCCTGGTGTTCTGGGACATCTTTCCCTGGGGAGAAAACAAAGTCTCAAGGAAACAGACAGCATGTGTGCCTTGGCAGGCAGGGATCCAGGAAGATTCTCCACAGCCTGTACTGATATCTCCTCCTCCTCTCCCCATGCAGGGACAGGATGTGCTGGGAAATCAGGCAACACTACCTTTCCACCCAGGCCCCCGGACACTTTGTGCTGAAGGGTGAGGGAGACTGGTCTGGGGTGGCAGGAGGCTGCCAGAGCCCCCCAGTCCTGCTCAGCAGGGTTTTGGCACCAATGTCCCTCTTCCCAGTGCACACCCAAGTATTTTATGTCTTGGGTCTCTAAGTGCCAGATGCCATCACAGGTGACACCATGGGCTGGTGCCTGTGGGGTTGTCCCACTCTGGCTCTGATTTTCACCCCTTGTACACCCGGCTTGTGGTGAAATGAAGCCCCTGGATGATGCTGGGGCTAACCAGGATTGACCGAACAAACTGGGTTATCCTCTCGTCCTTCCCAGGCCATAGGAAAAGCAGCAAAGTGGATGTGGTAGTGGGTGAGGCTGACCCCAGCAGCTTCATCATCCTCTATTACCAAAAGGGCCACAGCATCTCTGTTAAGCTCTATGGTAAGTTTGGCTCAGAGTCTCATGGCAGGTGAAGGACAGGGGTGGGAAAACTGTGCCGGACTCTGGAGAGGCCAGCTGAAGCCTTGGAGGACCCAACATTGGAATGGGGGTCACTCCTAGCTGGAGAATTGTCCGCAGATGCTGTGGGGGAGCAGGTGAGGGGGGGAACTGGGAACCCCCTTCTCAGCTGAAAGGCCCCTGGGCCCTGAGCCTTGTGTAGGGACATGGGGGGCTTTGGGCCAGTGCCAGGTAGGGCCTGAGGCTACTGATGGTGTCTCCCTGCATGCAGGTCGGACCAGCCTGGTCAGTGACGCCGTCGTGGACAAGTTCGAGCAGCGTGTCAGGGCTGTGGGTCTGAGTGAGGATGTGACCTACTACTTCCCCACCTATGGTGGGTAGCACAGGGTCCTCGGGGAGGCTTTTGTGGGTTCTGTCCCGATGTTTTGGCCACCCCGGGACAAAGATACAAGGACGGGGCTGTGCCCTGCAATGTCTTGGGGGTGTAGGGGCTGGAGGGTGCCAGGTCCCAGAGAAGGTGATTCCCCTGGGCTCTGTCTGTTGCAGGGTTTTGTGACTCTACGGATGAGTTTCACGTCCTCGATGGTGAGTTGGGGATGCTGGGTGATGTTGGATGCTGGCGCTGGCTGCCCCCATGTGCCAGGCTTGGTCCCACACTGGGCACCTGGGTGTTCCTGACCTGGCAGTGGCCTGGGCACACTGGGTCAGATCCATGCTGTGTGGTCCTGCCCCAGGATTGTGGGAGGGTTGGGCTGGCACAGGAAAGGCCATGCCAGACCATTCCCCAGAACAGAGCCTGTGCCCTTGTGTGGCAAACCGTCACTCAGGATGGGCATCAGGTACATCGTGGCAAAGCAAACCCCACTCACTGTCCACAAGGGTCAGACTGGGCTCAATGAATCTATATGGGTGTTTCCTGGGGCGAGGGCTGATCTGGGATGAGATGTCCTGGCACAGAGGCACCCTGGGGTGAAGTCTGGGGTTCCTGGGGACAGCTCCATCACTTGTCATTGGTGCTTGGCGAGGCAGAGGTAGGTCTTCAGCCCTGGTGCTGGGCTTGGACACCCTCCCAGCCCCTCAACACTTCTCTTCCTTCCAGAAACAAAGCTGTAGGTGCAGATGGAGTTTCCAGAGTGTCCCAGAGCTCAGCCCTCATCTCAGCCAGCTGCCCACAGCCACACAGACCTGAGCCACATTTTGTCAGCTCCACAGCTGCTCCACAGCTCTGGAGCCAGCCCTGGGCCTTCTCAGCCCTTCCATCTGTGCTGGCAGCTGCATCTGTCCTTGTTCTTTGCACCCCCCAGCTTGTGTCCCCCCTTTGCTCTGTGCCCCACTCTCCTGCAGGAGCCAGCAACACCCCAATAAACACCTCAGAGAAGAGCCTGCGTACATGCCAGTCACCTCTTGGTCTGCCCCAGCCAGGCCAGCAGTGCCTCCACCATGGGCTGCCAGTGCCTTGGACATGTGCTCCTGGCTGAGAGGTGCCATGGGGGTGTTGGGGGGCTGTGCAGCCCCCTTCCATGCAGATCCCTGCTATCTTCTCTGTGAGCCTTCCTCAGCCGTGGTACAGCAGGGCGGAATTGTGGTGGCTCCTGGTCCAGCTAGCAGGGGCAAGGGAGGGCCCAGCACTGAGGGGAACAGCACCGTGCCTGGGGTCACAGGGGGCATGGACTTAGGGGCACTGAGAGCACAGCATCTGCCTTTTCCCCCAAAAAGCTGAGAGATCCCTTGGGAACCCCAGGGGAGGTAATCTTAGTCCCACAATCCTGCTTCCCATCTCCAGGGCTGGAAAACACCCCATTCCCCTGCCCCAGCCCTGCAAGAGTTTATTCCCTGAGGGGCTCCTGCCCGTCATCCGACCCCCTGTGTGTGGGGTCCTGCCACACATTGCAGGCGAGTGGTGCCCATTGCCACTGGCTGCAGGAGGGGACAGGGAGCAGCCGGGCAGGAAGTAGTGCAGGGCCCCATCCCCACCCCTCCCGCAGCCCCCGCTTGGGGGAGAGCCCTTTGTCCCCAGCACCAGCATTTTGCAATCCTAACGGGAACTGGTAACACATGTTGTTTATCAGGGAATTATGTAAAAGGGAAGCCACGTGATGTGCCCAGAGCCAGCCCCTGTTCCCACCACCCAGGTGCAGGGGCCCCCGAGCCTGACAGAACTGGGCTGTGGTGGATCCAGCTCATTTTACCTGCACCCCAAAGTGGCTGCACCAGGCAGGGGGGAATAAGGGAATAAGAGGAGAGCCCTGGGGAGCTGGGCTGGTCCCCAAGGATTCTCCACACCCTTCATACCAGCTCAGCCCATCTGTTGTTGGGGCTAAACCATTTCTGGGTGCAAACACCCAGGTTATGCCCAAGGGTCTGTGTCAAGCCCCCGTGGGGACCCAGAGCCCAGATAACCCGTCCTGCCCCTAGCCCTGCTCTTTCTGCCCCTTGCCACCGTTGGCATGTTCCCCTATGCCCCCAAGTGCTCCAGCTTTGCCACCCAAGTCCTTGGGCTGGCTCCCAGCTTTACCACTCCCAGGACAGCCGAGCACCACCCAAATATCCATCGGGCACCCTCTCCTGGCACCTGGGCAGGGAGCTGCGGGTATCTGGCAGCAGGGAGGGCTTTGTGTTCCTGCTGCAGTGCCAGATGACAGCGACACCCTGGGTGTTCCCTGCTCTGTGGCTGATGGAGCGAGTTCCCCCCACCACCCTGAGGGTGAGCTCCGGGGGAGACTAAGCCCCAGCCCAGCATGCGGGGCCCCAGCTGGGCTCTCGTGATGTCCAGTCCTGCCTCCTCAGCTTTTGTTTTGCTTTCATAAATCTGCGGGGCCGGGCAGGCGCGGGGTGCGCAGGGCAGGGCGGCCTCACAGCAGGACACGGGGAAGGGAATGTGCAGGGTGGGCTGCCAGGGGAAAACCAGCTGCTCTGAAAACATGCTCCTTACATAACACACCTTGGCAGGGCTGCGCCGTGGCGCTGGGGCTCTGCCCGGCCCAAACCCTGCCAGACCCATGGGCGTGGCTGCTGGCACCCAGCATACATCCCCTGCCCTCACCCTGCAGGGGCGTCCCCAGATTGAGGGCGATGCCTTAATACCTGCTGGTGACCCCAAACCAAGGGGGAGGGCATCTCCAGCCCCTCTTGGCAAAGGGTGCAGGGTGGTGGGGTGGGTGGGGTGTCAAGTTCTAGGGTGCATCTGGCTGCACGCTGGTCCCCAGGGAGCTGAACATGGGGCTCCCCTGCTCACCAGTGGGGTGCACCCCAAGGGTGCTAAGGCCAGCAGAGATACTTCCTTGGGTGATGCAGGTACTTGAGTCAAGGCAAAGCAGGGCATCCTGGAGGAGCACGCATCGGTGTCACGTCCTGTGGGTTGGGTTGGGACCTGGGAGGCACTGGACATTTCCTCCATCTCACTGAAGCCCCACTCTGAGTTCAAGTGAGGCCACCCTGTGTGGATGGGGCAGCTCTGGCCCCTCTCCATGGGCTGCTCCCTGCCCCAGCCCGGCAGCATTGGGGGCAGGGCGGCCACTGCGCTGGCCGCTGGCTGTTTTCACTGCAGAGCAGTTTGGCACCCTGGAGCAAATATGTCGTATCAACAGAAGGGAAGCATTCACAGGATCCCCTGCTTGCCCTTTGGCTTCAGCACTCTGTCCTGCTCCAGCTTGCATAACGGCACGGCTGGGGCAGGGCTGGCTCCCCGGGGGCCCCCGGAACGCCTGACGATAAATAGGGGCTCAACAAACTCGCCAGCACTGCAGCGCTCTGCCTCCAGCTCTCAGCTCAGCTCGGCTCGCTCTTGCCATGCAGGCCACACTGCTCAGCACCCTGGCGCTGGCCCTGCTCGGGACACTGCACGCCCAGGACAGCATTCCTGTCCAGGCTGACTTCCAGCAGGACAAGGTGACACAGGCCGACCGGCATCACCTCTGTGGGGGTTTGGGGTGTTTTGCGGGATCCTTGCCCTGAAAATGGGGGGAGGGGGCGGTGCAGGTGGATGGGGGCCCAGGCTTGCACCGGTGCACATGCAGCCTCCCATCCTGGGGACTTCCCAGCACCTGGGTTTGGTGGCTCTGGAAGGGATCCAGCATCGAGGCTGCAGGCTGTGGGGTAGGATCCCAGCTTAGGCATGGGTCCAAGCTGCTGCTGTGCTGTGGAGTGGGTGTGGATGCACAGGGCTCTTACAGGGGAGAGTAAGAAATGCAGTCTTGGTCTGATAGCACAGAGGTGGGCCATGAGAACCCCTCCCCAACAAAGGCCCCATCCCAGGGCCACAAAAAAATAAGGGCTGCTGTGCTGGGATATCCCCTACATCCCTTCTCCCCTGGACAGGTCCTGGGGGACACAGCCTCCCCAGAGAGGTAATGGGGATGGAGGGAGGCACTTTCTGCAAGGACAGGAGTTTGGGATGTGCTGCAAGGGTGATCCCAGCACAGCTGCTCTCCAAGGGGGGGCAGTTCCCCTCAGGAGTATCACACTGCTGGCTCCATATGCCAGGCTGGAATGAGCCACGCTGGACCCAGTGTCCTGACTCATCCTCACACCCCCAGAGGGAGGGAAATGGTATCTCAGAGCCAGGCCGTCCTGTCACACTCCCTGGACTTGGGGTGAAGAGGAAGGAAACACCCAAGGGCAGTGAAGGACATGTAATGAAACAGGGATTTCCTTGTTCCTGGCTTTTGTGGTTGCCAATAGCTGTAGCAGCTCCCTGTGAAATGAGGACCCTGGGACACTGTCCTGCTGTAGGGAATGAGCTGCCAGAGGACAGCTGGGCTGGGGCTGGTGGGGGCTGAGGGGTGAGACAGGGTCTGTGCCCAGCTGGGGCTGAGTGGAGGTTGTGTGCAGCTCACGGGGAGATGGTACAGCATCGGTCTGGCCTCCAACTCTAACTGGTTCAAGGAGAAGAGGCACCTGATGAAGATGTGCACCACCATCATCTCCACCACCGCAGAGGGGAACCTAGAAGTTACCTCCACGTACCCCAAGTATGGGGCATGGGGAGAGGGTGAGCGGGGAGGGGTGTACTGGGGGTGGCCACTGGTGCATCCCCTGCTGCTCTGCATCCCAGGGGTGACCAGTGCGTGACGAGGAACAGTCTTTACACCAAGACAGAGCAGCCAGGGCGGTTCAGCTACACCAACCCACGTGAGTGCCCAGCTTCCATGGGGCAGCCCCGGACATGTCACAGTTCTGCTCTCCCTGTTTCTGCCTTGTGGCTGATTCAGACCTCAGGGCTGAGCTGTGCCCCATGTTCCCCACAGGCTGGGGCAGCACGCATAACGTGCATGTGGTGGAAACCAACTACGAAGAGTATGCCTTGCTGGCCACCCAGATCTCCAAAGGCACCGGTTCCTCCACCATGGTGCTGCTCTACAGTACGTCTGCCCCTGGACCCCCATGATGTCCATACCCCCCCAGATGTCTGTCTTTCCCATGGGAGAAGGGCAGGGTTAGGGTCATTTCCCAAGCTGGGGTGACCTTGGGGGGATGATGGCTGGGTCTGGACCCCCTTGCAGGGCTGTCCGTGCCCCTGTGCTGGTGGGTATGGGAAGGACTGCCTCTCACCCTGCTCTTTGCTGCAGGCCGGACGAAGGAGCTGAGTCCCAGACGCCTGGAGATGTTCACCCAGTTCTCCAGGGAGCAGGGCCTGACAGATGACGAGATCCTCATCCTGCCCCAGACGGGTGAGACTGGGAGCACAGGGATGGTGTCGGAGAGTAGGGGGTGAGATACCACAGGGGGACTGAGAAGGAGGAGACCCTGCTGGCTTGTCCCTGCCTCTCTATGGGACCAGACAAGGGCTGCCCCTATGCAGGATCCCTCAGAGGGGCTGAGTTCCCACAGTCCCAGAGGAGCTGATCTCCCTGTTTCTTCCTCTTGCAGATAAATGCATGGCAGATGCTGCTTAGGTGAGTCCTGCCTTCACTGGGGCTCAGACCAGCCTTGGGGGATGGTATGGGGATGCTTAAAGCCACATCACCCCACAGAGCCTCCAGCCCCTCCACAACCCTTCCCTGGGCTGCTGCTCTCCTCACACTGACTGGGGATCCACCACCCAGCCCTGTGGGCTGCCTACCCACTCAGTGTGAGGCTAGCCAGGCCCATGTCCCCTCTGTGTGTTACCTGGTCTCCCACAGCTCAGCCATGCTCACCCCTCATCTTTTCCAGACAGACCCACCAGCTGCTGCCAGCCCAAGCCCCAACAGCATCACAAGCTGGTGACCACCCTGACCCCCCAGCACCACAGCAGCCTTCGCTCCCTGGCTTCACAACCCACACCTGTATCCCTGTCTCGATTAAAGCCCATTAAAAAACATCCCTTGCCTGTTGGATTGTTCTGGGGCAGGCCCAAACAAGGCAATGGGGAGGGGAAAGTATGGCCAGTAGGGTTGGGACTGGGGTTAGTGGTCAGGGCTGACCCCAGCTCCTGGCTATGGAGCTGCTGGGCTGAGACCCCTTGTGCACTCACAGCTCTGCCCCATGGTGCTGCCTGGCCACTGAACCTGCCCTGTCCCACAAAAAGGGGTCCCTGAGTCTAGGGACCCACTGGGGCATCTGCTCCCCCTCTGCCCCTTGGACACCCTGGGCTCCCCCAACCTCCCTGCCTTGGTTTTCCTGCTGGAGAGCAGGCTGGCAGCATAGGAATAGGGCGACGAGCAATCAGGAGGTCTCCAGAAGTTTGGGGAAGGATAGACATGAAGAAGAAGGATGTCTGAGCTCTGGGTGTGGCTTGATTCCAGCCACCTCCTGGGCTCCATCCCACAAACCCGGACCCTCTCCAGCAGTGGGGTCTGAGCCTGATGCCACCAGCCTAAGAAATCACCACCCCTTCTGAGGGCACCCAGGTGTGGCTCAGCCTGGGGCAGAACACCAGCACAGCCATTCTCTGGCACTGAGGATCCTGAGGCAGGAACCATCCCACCACTGACAGACCTTAGAAGCAATGGAAACAGCCAGGAGGGGGCCCCTGGGATGCATGTCACGTCCTCCCCAGACACAGAGCGGGCACGGGGCAGCTCTTGGTCCTGGCGTGCTCTGGGCTGGGTGTCACACAAGGCTGCATTCATCTGGAACCAGGGGGGACAGGCCCAGCACTGTCACCTAAGCCGGGCACAGGTTATCCTTGTTCTTGTGTAACCTGTTGCATAAAGCTGGCCTGGGCAGCTGTGCTGCCAGCAATGGGGGCTATAAAGTGAGTGCAGCCTCTCCTGCCCACATCCACTTCAGGGTGAGGATGACAGCAGCACTGCCCAGCCTGGCTCTGGCCATGCTCTGCCTGCTGCAGGTAGGAGCCCAGGGCCCCGTGCAGCTGGACCTGGACACCAAGAAGGTAAGTACACAGGGTGCTGCCTGGCACATCCTGCCTGAGCTGGAGGGGCTGGCTGGGACAGGGGGCTTGTGCTGCACTCCCGGGCACCTGCCAGCCCCATCCCTGAGCCAGCTTCAGGGCAGCTTCCAGGAGAGCCTGTGCAAAACCAGGTTAGTTCTAGCTGCTGTGTCCAGTGCCAACAGTAGCCCCACTGCAAGGACACCAGCTTGTGGGGCCATGATATTTGCAAGGGTGTGGCACTTTCCCAGGGAACATGGGTCAGGTGCTGCACCTGTACTCTTAGCTTGGGGCAGGACAGGGTGTTCTGCATGCAGGTAGGTGGCAGGTCCCCATGTTTGCCAGTGGCAGATCCACTGCAGGTTGGCAAATTTCTGCAGTGGGCTTCCAAGTCCCCTATGGAGGAGTGCAGGTCCCCCTGGTAGGTCCCCACAACTTTTCCAAATTCCACCAGTGACGTCCTGCTGCAGTTTGCAGGGGTGTGGTATGTCACAGCCATTGCTTCCAACTGCTCCATCTTCCTGAAGATGAAAGATGGGATGAAGTCACCCATGGCCATCATCAGCTTCATGCCAGAAGGGGACCTGGCCGTGAAGTTGGTCTGGCCCCTGTAAGTGTCTGTCCTGCTCACTGTGTTCCCTGTGGGCCACAGCACAGTACTCTGGGTTGCCCAGTTCTGCCTCAGTGCATCCCCCTGGGCAGGCTGGGCTCCCCCCGTGCCCATCACCCTGCTGCCTTACCTTGTGGTGTCTAGACACATTTGTCTTTTTCGTGTTCGTTTTCCAGGATGGACAAATGCCAAAAGTTTGAGCTGCTCTTCCAGCAGAGCGGGCAGGCGGGGCACTACATGGGTATGTGTGGAGAGGGGCTTTGGAGCCATGGGTACCCTGAAACAGAAGGCATCTCCAGCCCCCATGCCTCAGGAGTAGTGGAAGGTGGGCTTGGCCCCTCTGCCTCCACGACTCAGCAAGAGGTTGTGGGTGGGTGGGCACCTGGCTCCTCCACATTGAGTTGGGGTTCCTTCCTCATACCCCCCTCAGGCAAATTTGAGGCTTGAGCACTGAGCTGTGGGCCTCAGGAGGGCTCAGACTCTAGCCCGTTACCCATCCAGTCACCTCTGGGGTCCTTAGGAGCACAAGAGAAGAGGAATCTGCGTGTGATGGAGGCAGACTACAGTCATTATGCTGTCCTGCACGAGGTCCAGCACAGCGAGGCAGAGCCCAGCACGGCGCTGCAGCTTCTCAGTGCGTTGGGAGTGGGGACCTGGCTCCTGGGAAGGGTTGGGACCACCAGCAGCAGGCAGGGGCTGGGCTTCCCACCACTTCCCAGGGCCACCACCAGCACCACCCCACGTCCATCACCTAGGGAATTAATTTTGGGGTGAATGAAACTTTGCGCTACAGAAATCTCCAGTTGGTTGTGGGTTGAACCAGAGCCTCCTGCAGTGTGCAAGCCCAGCTGCAGCAACCTAAGCCTGCCAGCAATCCCATACCACCCCAAGCAAATGGGTTGCTGATCCCAAGGGGCTTGTGCCCCTTTGCTGCCAACCCAGGGCAGCTGTGGTTTGCCTGGTGTCCACCCTGCATGTTCATTGCTTCACCTTGGCCCTTCCCTGGGGTCCAGCTGCTGCCCTGCAGTACCTGGACCCCCAGTGTGGGGCTGGCTGCTGGGATTCCTTGCACTCACCAGCTCCCACTTTGGGTTTGTGGCTGCAGCAAGGGAGCAGGATGTGAGCCCCCAGCTCCTGCAGAAGTTCATGGAGCTCATCCCCACCATGGGCCTGACCGAGGACATGCTGGCCATCCTGCCCAAGTCAGGTGAGTGGCCCGAGGGCACAGGGTGGCAGCTGCAGCTCCTCTGCATGTGTACTGTGCAGAGGCTCGGGGTGCTGCCAATTGCACACTCACCCCCTCTTTGCTTTCCAACAGATCAATGCACCAGGGACATCAGGTGAGTGTGGCCAGGGAAAGCTGTGACTGCTTCTCAGCATGGCTTGGGCTGAGCAGGAACTTGCAGGCCCTGGGGGATCCCCCACCTGCCTTGGGGCTCTGTCATCTTGGCTTTGCCCTGCTCTGAGCAGTCATCTGCCTGTCCTGCCCCTACAGCTGAAGGACCATGTGTCCCCCAGAAGTAGTAGACGACGGGCTCTGCACCCCACTCCGTGGTGCTCCTTCCCATCCTGCAGGCTCTGCCGGACCCCCTGCTCCATACCAGGATCACCCTCAACTTCCTAAATAAATAGATGCAGAAGATGCCCCAGTGCACGATGCTTTGTTGGCAGGAGCAGGGTGCTGCCAAGGTCCCCAGGCACCCTGAGACCAACAGCCCTGGAGCTGACCCTTCCTGTCAGGCCCCCATAGGTTTCAGGGGGCTCCCTAGATGTGATGTGTGCTGTGCCCAGCATGGGGAGGATGGGGAAGGTCCAGGGGAGCAGCTGTCAGGGCAAGGAAGATTGGAGCCAGGGTGGCCAGGGGCTGGCACAGCCTAGCTGTGTGATCAGCAGCTCTGGGCAGACAGGGTTGAGCAGTCAGGCTGCCCAGTGCTGCCTGCAGGGACACTCCCAGAAAACCCCATTCCCTGCTCAGTCCTTGCCCGGGGTGGCACCAGGGCTGTCTGTGGCAGGACTGGGACCCACATACCTGCCACCTCCCTTGGTCCCCCATCTCACCAAAGCAAGGCCATGCTGCCATGAGCCGGGCAAGGGTGGTTTTTATCTGCCTCCACCTCCTGCCGACCGAAGGCAGCTTCCCTGCCCCGGAGTCCCTCTGTGCCCGGGCAGGTGCTGGGCTGTGATCCCAGGAGCGCGGCAGGGCCAGGCCACAGGGGACATGACACTCTGGGAGGGAGGGACACACTCCCACAGCGACACGAACCCCTTCTTCTGCCCGCCCTGCTCGGGGTGCAGCCCGCTCGGCTGAGCCGGGTGCCCGGAGAAGGGGGGGAGGCTGACTGGATTTGGGCAGGATCCCAGCAGCTCCCTGGGCCACGCTGCACCCCGGCCAGAAGAACGGGTCACCGAGGGCCTCGGGGAGCTGGACAGCGGGGCTGCCCCGGGGCCGCTGCCGGGAACAACCTCCCGCTCCTCCTGGCAGCGCTCCGGCAGCCCGTTGGAAAACAACCGTTCGCTTTGTTCTTTCACAAGCAACTAAAAGAACCGGGGAAATCCCAAATTTCAGCAGTGGTGCAACAGTTCCTGTAAGCCCGTTTTGGGGCTGGCAGGCACAAGCCCCGCTCTGCCCCAGGGGTTTCTTCACCCTTGGCTGACTGCTGCCCTTCGGATCCACCCCTTTGCCCAATCCGGCCCCAAGAGCGTTCCCGTGGGGCTCGGCACGGCTCCAGCGCGGGGCACGGAGCTATAAATGCGACGGCACCGCTCCCCATCCCACCGGGGAAGTCCGTGAGGCGAGATGAGGACCGTGGGGTTGAGCCTGGGGCTGGTCCTGCTGTGCTTGCTGCGTGTGCAGGCTGAGGAGCTGGGAACTGCGGGGCCGGAGGAGAGCAAGGTGACCCCAGCATCCAGGGAAGGGAGGGGAAGGGAAGGGAAGGGAAGGGAAGGGAAGGGAAGGGAAGGGAAGGGAAGGGAAGGGAAGGGAAGGGAAGGGAAGGGAAGGGAAGGGAAGGGAAGGGAAGGGAAGGGAAGGGAAGGGAAGGGAAGGGAAGGGAAGGGAAGGGAAGGGAAGGGAAGGGAAGGGAAGGGAAGGGAAGGGAAGGGAAGGGAAGGGAAGGGAAGGGTTTGTTCTCTAGTCACCAGCAGAGCAGGGAGGACTGTGGAGGTGTTTTGGTACTGGGGACAGCTGGGGTCACTACAGCCACCATTGCTTTGCTGACACACCCAGGCGAGGACAGTCATCCAGCTCCTGCATAGGTGTCCCTAAGGGAATTCTGTTTCTGGAATGGGATGTGGGTGTTCCATGCACTGAGGTTGTCCTGGCTTTGTCCCTGAGGAGGGGACACTCTAGACTGCTCCTCTGGACTCACAGCCTGCTCTCACTGCCAGATTGCAGGGACATGGTACATCACTGCTATGGCATCTGACTCCAAGATCTACCTCCAAAAGAAGGACCAACTGAAGATGGCAATGGCCAACATTGAGGTCCTGGGGAATGGTGACCTGAAGGTCTCCTTTGCAATTCCCACGTAAGTCCCACATGCTTTTCTCCACGGGCTTCACTTGACCAACCTCCTCCTTGGACCTTCACTCGTGGGTCTTCACCTCAGTGCACTCGCCAAACATGTGAGCAGAGGTTGAGACAGGAACACCAGAGGTTTGGGACAGCTGTGAGCACCCCGTCTTTAGGGCAGGATCAGAGCAACACCGGCAAGGACCAGTGCCACCACAGAGGGTGGGACGGGACCCTACAATTACAACTTTCCCAGCAGAACCAGCCTCATTCCAGAAGCCCAGAGCATGAGTGAGGGCATCAATAATCCCCAAGTGACAGCACTGTCCCCTGCCAGCCCAGGTACCCATTGTTCCAAGGGTGGTATCTGTCCCCTCCTCCACTGGCCACACCATCCCGTCTCTGAACAGTAAGTCTCACACCTGGGATAGCAACCCTTGAACAGGGGAGGGGAAAGGGAGTCACTTCACCTCAGCTGGAGCATCCTTCACTCTTCTGCAGCCCTGAGAGATGTATGAAGTTTGAATCGATCTACACGCCAACAGGCAGCCCGGGTGAATACTACAGCTCTGGTGAGTGGGGGTGCCTAGCTCTTGGAGCAGGATAGAGGCATGTCCCACCATCCCTGCCTGAAGCAGCTGGCTGTTCCTGGGGACATGGCCCTCAGGATTGCCTGCCCCTCCTGTATCCTGGGTGGGACATCCCTCTGCATCCAGGTGCCAGCTACACCCCAGGGCTGGTGGCCCAGCAGCATGGCAGACCCTGCAATCCCTCCCTCTGGGACGAACACATTGAGGCCAAGCTTAAACCCTAGGGAAAAGCAGGTTCCTTCAGCAAAGAGGCTGTGAGTGGATGTTCCATGGGGATGGAGCAGGAGTGGTTTTCCACCATTCCCAGTCCAAGGAGCAGTCTGACACTGGCCAACAGCCTGCACTGACCATCCATAGCCCTTTCTGCCCTTGCCTCCCCATCCTTCTGCTCTGCTGTGGTCTCCCCAGGCTTTCAGAGAAGCCCTAGCAAGAGGGAAACCAGGATGGGGAGTTATCAAGGAAAAACAGGCTTGCTGGGCTTCATGCTCTTTAACAGCCCCTTTGCAGCATGGGGGTTTCCAGGAGGAGGTAATTTACTTTTCTCCGCGTCCTTTTGCAGACAGAGGCAATAAGACAGTGCGGCTGGTGGACACCGACGGCACTTCCTACATGGTTGTCTTTGCCACCAGAGAGAAAGAAGACGGGAAGATCTTGCACATGCTGAGACTTTACAGTGCGTAGACAGCAGTGGTGAACTGCTCTGAGGGTCCTGCAAGGCCAGGAGCCAGGGGACATTCTCTCTCCACTTCTGCCCTGGGTGAGGTGCAGGAGTGGGGCAGGGACTATCATGTGTTCCCTGTGTGGCAGGGAAGGAGCAGTATTTTAGGGGTGGCAGGGGAGGCTGGGGCTCAGGCTCCCAGAACTGTGCTGCAAGTCCATGGCCTTGGGTAAGCTGCTTGTTGGAGAAGGGTGGAGAGTGGGGGTCCTGCTGCACAGGCAGAACAGAATCAATGGGGACAGGAACCACGAGAGGAGTCACTGTGCTGGTGTCAGGACCTCTGGCTCATCTTGTACCCTGGGTGGGGTGTCTCATGTGCCTGGCCACCACTGCTGTCCAGGACCTCCACCAGTGCCTCCAGCCTTCTCCCAGGGACTGCCACCCATCCCACCCTCAGCTGGACACACTCACCAGCTTCCCCGGAGATGCAGGGTCAGGCACAGTCTGGAGCTAACTCATGTCTTTGTCTTTAGGCAGAACCCAGTGGGTGAGACCCAAAATCAAGACACTGTTCAAGAGACTTGCTAAGCTGAATGGCTTCACCGACGAGACAATCTGGATTTTGCCCAGGCAGGGTGAGCACTGCCCAGGGCCAATACAGGGACATGCAGGCAGGGACCAGCTCAGCCCATCAGTGCCACCACTTTGTGGTCTGAGCTGGCAGCCAGCAGTGCTCTGGCTGGGCACACTGAGAAAGCAGAAACCCACAAGTTCCTTCTGAGTAGTCTGTTTTGGGTGCTAAATGGGACTATTCAGACCACAGTGCCAGACTTAGGCTTTCTCTTTGTTTCCACAGAGGAATGCAGACTTGGTGAACTGTAGGTGAGTTGCCACAGTGCAAAACGGTGTTTGCAATGTTCTCTCCTGGAAATTGACCCTCTTGGTGCCCCAAAGGCAAGGGCCACCAAGAACTCTTTGAATTCCTCTGGGGTTGAGCTGTTTGAACTGGTGCAGGACCTTGCACACAGGTAGGACCATTCCTTTGCATACTGCTCTACAGCGGAGCCCCCAGGTAGCAGTACCCAGGGACTCCCAAGGAGCAGTGTCCAGAGACCCCCAGTGGGAAGTGTCTGGCACTGAACATGGGCACGTGAGCTGAAACCACCAGAGAAATATCTGCCCAGCCTTTTGAGCAGTGAGGGCCAGGCAGTCCTGCCAAAGTGACCCTGGGCTTGTGGACTGGCAAACCTGGCCAGAGTGGGTTGGTGTCTCACCATGCAAACCATATTTGCTGTTGCCCCCCTAACCTGTGCTTTCCCACCACACAGCTGTAGGGGTTACTAGAAATCCATTGCTGGAGATGCCTCACCCTACAAATCTGGGGAGAACTGGAGAAGAATGCACTGATCCTAATGGAGAGTCCCACTGGTCTTGTCTCACCCAGACACCACCTCTCCCACCTGTTTTCCAGAAAGTGCAGACTGGCTTGTAGATGCTCTTGCCAAGCAATGCAAGACCCACGCTCTGAAGCTCCAGGCTCCTGCTCCATCATCCTTCTTCCAAGCTCTGTTATCAGGACTCGGACACAGCCCCTGCTCCTCCAGCACACAGTCCCTGCTTTTTGCCAAATAAACAGAAACCCTCCCCAGGTCTTGGTGTAGCTGTCTGGGGAGAACCTGGGGTGCTGGGCCCTGTGGTCCCTCCTGTTGTCCTCCTGGGGGCTGTGGATGGGGAACAGCCAGGAGTGATCCCAGCTGAGGTTGCCCAAGTGAGGGCTGTTTCAGAGCCACAGGATTTTCCCTCCTGGGTGCCTCCCAGAGAGGCAGGACCAGGCCAGGCGGAGATAAGGCAAAGGGTGCAGTGAGGCTGGGAATCCTGTGGGCAAGAGGGGATGCATGGAGAAAGGCCACTGAGAGTGAGGCTGGAGTTTGGAGGGCTGCATCCACCCACACCATCCACCACCTATCCTCCTCTTGCCCCGTAGTGGCTGCAGATCTCCGTTCCCTGAGAGCCCCAGGAGCTCATCCAACAGCTGAGGCTGAGCCAAGGCAGGGCAAAATTCAGATTTGAGACCTGTCTGCCCCACTGCAAGCTGTTGTGGAACATGGCTGTCTGAATCCTCTGGAGCCAAACCTGGAGAGCTGCCTGTGGTTTCTGCCCCTGGGCACCACACAGAGAAAAACCCCGCTGGAGCTGGGGTCCCAGGGCACACAAGCTGACAGTTCAGTGTTTTCTGGGTGTGAATCCCATCTGTGCAGAGATGGCAGTGGGTCCCCATGTAGCCCTCCATAGTCCCTCAGCCCTTCCATCAAGCTTGTATCTATCTCTGCTGCTCATCCAGTGCTCCTTTGTCCCCCCAACAAATCTGGCCAGATGTCATCATATATCTGATAAAAAGGGACATTTTTCCCCTGAATGTTCCTAAGGACTCCCTATGTTTAGGCACCTACCCAGCAATGGTGGCATCCTGCAGCAAGGAGCTTCACGCACCTCTGCTCTTCCTCTTGCTTGTCATACTGATTCCATCTTCAGCTGCTCAGCCAGGGGCCATGGGAACACACCAAGGCTGGTGGGGACCAGGCTGGTGCAGAGGGGATCAGCCCAGACACCAGGGTACCAAAACCTGATGGAGAGAGCAGAGGGGTGTTGGGGCAAAAGAAATGCTGGGACAGCCTTTGATGGCTGAGGAGCAGTTTGAGACTGGCAGCTGATGGCTGCGGGTGATGCAAGATCATCTCCTCTATTTGTGCTCCTTATGCTGTTCCACATCTTAAATCTTTGACAAGCCTCCTTGTCCTCCCAGCCTCTCCTCTCACCCCTCTCTCTCCTTCCCCTGTTCAGGCCATGTCCCTGCTGGGGCTGCATGGCCAGACCCGGACCTTCATCTCCCTGAAAAGGTGAGGGCGCAACTGAGATTTACATGGAGCCTTGTCCTATCCTCTGATCGTCTAATATCTCCTCATGCTGCCCACTCTGGCACTCACTGCACGTGGATGAGGTGTTTTACCGGGTATCTGTCAGTCAGCACAGTGACCTGCCTGGGTCCTTTCTCTCTCTCAGCCACTCTTTACTGAGAGGGTGACCAACCACTGGGATAGGCTGCCCAGAGAGGTTCTGGAGTCATGTCTGGAGGAGCTCAAAATGTCTGGACACAATCCTGAGTGACTGCTCTGGGGGACTCTGCTTGAGAAAGGAGGTTGGACTGGATGACCTTCCAGCCTGAATCATTCTGTGATTTATCTTAGTGAGATCTTCTCTAACCTATGCCAGCTAGTCCACTGCGAGCTTTGATAGACTCTTTCCAGGTGACCAGGGGATGTCCAACACCCATGTCTTGTTGACTCCTTCAGAGAGGTGTATTTCTGAGGTATGATTTTCCAGCGGAAAAGTTGCATTCAGTCTGCTCTGTGTCGTAGTTTGCTGAGACATCAACCAAATCTGGCCTTTATTGCAGCTTTTGTGTGTATCTCCTACACTGTGAGGGGACCTACTTATCTGTTGTCCCTCTGAACACCTCTGTAGAGCCTGGCACATTCTCTCCTTCTCATCGTCTGGTGAAAACTAGAAGGCACCAAAGGGAGTGTAAGTGGCAGATGGGGTGCTACAGTGACGCTTGAGTTATTTTGTCTGGAAATGTCATCTCCTCCATCTTATTGCTTACTTGCCCTTCTCCATTGGTAGGACAGAACATCTGAAATGTTTGCAGAGAAGATTGTCCATTCTGAGGATCCACCAAAGCTCCTTCTTGGCCAAGGTGGAGGCAGGGTTTCTTCACTTTTCTATCAGCTTATTATTTTTTTTTTAATTTAACCCACTACTTTCAAGTGTTTTCTAGTGTTAAATTCCTGCTGCCAGAGCCTTTGAATAAAGTGCAGCTGTCTTTTCTCAACGGAGAGGAGCCAGGTGCCAGATGCTGGTGTCTTCATTGTTTGTCTTACATTGTTGCCTTCAGCTGTCTTCAATAAATTACAGAATGTTTATGCTACTTCTAATCAGATTATTTAAATTGATGCAATCCTGCTGGGCTCCATTTAGGATTCCCAATATTATTTAGGGCTTGTATTTGCTAATATCAGCTTAAGCACTCAGAGGGAAGCTAAGCTGGCCTTTCCAGACAATCTCTGTGTCATATGTGATAGTTAATCCTCTTGACTTTTCATTTTTCCTCTTTTTGAAAAAAAAATGTAACTGTATGGGATCATCTCAGGTTGTAAGAGTAGCACCAGCTAGCACAAGGATGACACTTTAATTTCAGCCTCTGAGCCAGGTCCCACTTGCTGCTTGGGACCTGTGGGCTCTTGGTGATCCCAAAAAACACTGAGTGCAAGGGTGCCCAGCCAGCCTGCCTGGAGCAGTTGTGTTAGAGGGTCCTGGATGTTCCTTTGCATGTGATGGGTGCAGCACCAGTCACCAGCCAGCGGTGTAGTCACCACAGCAGGAGTCACTCAAGCAACACGCAGACATCAGGACCAGGCTTGTCTATCTGCCTTGGATGGTGCAGAGTGAGGCCACAGGATTCCCCAAGTGCTGCTGGGCCTGGTGGATGTGAGCCCAGAACAGCCTTTCAATACACATCCAGGGGTCTATCAAAATCACACCCATGTCCCAAACCACTGAAGCTGCCAGACACACCTGCTGTGAAGAGAGGTGCAGGAGAGAAGCAGCAGCCAGCAGCCCTGTGCTGGGGTCTCTGCCCTGGTCTGTTCCCTGCCCTGCTCCACAGCCAGCACTCAGGGCTGCACTCCTTGTCTCTCTTTGGCCTGGCAGCCAGAGGAGTGCTTGCCTGAGGAGCACACTCCATGCCAGCCCAGGGTGTCTGTCTGTAGTGGGGTGACCCTGGCTGGATCCCAGGCACCCAGTAAAGCCTCTCTATCTCTCCCCTCGGCAGCTGGATAGGGGAGAGAAAATATGATAAAGTATTTATGAGTTAAGATAAGGACTGAGATAGATCACTCATCATCACAGGCTCTAATAGAGATATTAATTGAATTTACTGTTAACAAAATCAGAGCAGGATAATGAAAAGTAAAGTAAGACCTTAAAAACACCTTCCCCCCCAATACCTCCCTCTTTACCAGCTCTACCTCATTCCCTACAGTGGTGCAGGGAGACAGAAATGGGACACTGCTCAGGGATAGAAGTAATTCCCCTGCTACAGCACAGGGTCCCTCCCATGGGGAATAGTTCTCCATTAACTTCTCAAAAGTTAGTCCAATTCACAAGCAACATTCCAAGCAAACTGCTGCAATGTGAGTCACTTTTCCATGGGGTCAGTCCTTCAAGGAACAGGCTGCTCCAGTGTGGATCCCCCACAGTGTCACAGCTCCCATAAGCAAATCTGCTCTAGTGTAGGCGCCTCTTTCCACAGGTCTGCTGGTCCCTGCCAGAATCCTGCTCCACCATGGGCCTCTCATGGGGTCACAGCCTCCTCTCAGGCATCTCCCTGCTCTAGCATAGGCTCCTCCAGGAGCTGCAGGTGGATCTCTGTACTCCTATGGAATCCTTGGGCTGCAGGGGCACCATTGTCTTCACCATAGGCTCAGGGGAATCTCAGCTCTAACACCTGGAGCAGCTCCTTCCCCTCCTTCTCCACTGACCTTCATGACTGCAGAGCTTTCCTCTCACACATTTTCACCCCGCTCTTATCTGGCCACAATTACAACTGCACAAAAACCTCTTTCTTTCTTTCTTAAATATGTCATTTCAGAGGCATTACCACCACTCCTAATTGGCCTAGCCTTAGCCAGTGGCATGTCCATCTTTGGAGCCACCAGGGATTGCTTCTGCTGGACATAGTGGAAGCTTCTGGCAGCTCCTTGCGGGCCACCTCTATATCCCCCCTGCCAAAACCTGGCCATGCCAACCCAATACACTGGTGCATGTCTCGAAGTCCACAGCCTCAGCACAGCAGGAACCCTGTCCCTGCCACAAACACAGCACTGCTCACCTTGCAGACGTGTCCCTCATTGCCCTATGCCACAGGGCAGTTCCTGGCAGTATCCCTGGAATGTGGCTCCTCATGAACAGTAAGGCTGTGGAGCTGGCCTGTACTTCCCTTGAGCCTACCTCAAGCTCACTTGATTCATTAGATTTGATTGCAAATCAAATGCAACTTAATTAGCAGAAAGGGAAACAGTCCCTGCCAATGGCTGGCTGATCATTCCCTAATGACTATCAGATCAGCACATGTAATTGCAAAGCCCTACAGTTATTGGAGAATGAAATGAAGAGGCCACTTGCATCCCACTTACACAGCACTTCTGACAGGTTCTCCTGCCTTGGCTCACAGGCAGAGGAGTTTTGCTGTGGTGGGACACACAATCTGCTGTGCCTCACGGCCCTGCACTCTCCAACTTCCAGTAAGGCAGCTACTGCCAAAGAACCCAGCCTGTGGAGGCCCATGAGCCCACTGGAGGGAGAATATGACAATACCCTGGAAAGATGCACTACAGGCTCCAGGCACTCCTCACAGCTCAGGGCGAGAAAAGAGGCTACCCCCATGGTGCTCTGCAGCACTGTGTTAATTTGTCCCAGTTCTGTCCTCCCCATTGGCCTGTTGGCCTTCCCTACCCCTTTTACCCTAATAAGTTCATGTTCTAGAGAGTTCTCCCTTCCCTGTTTTCCCAGTATAAACCTGCCCATCCATCC